TACTGTTAGGCGACTCTCGAGATGATGCGCGCGAGTCGTATTGCCGGTCGCAGCGAACGAGCGAACGAGCGACCGCGCCTGGCTATTCCTTCGATCGGCGAGCCAAGTCATCCAGCTAGCCTAGCTAGCTAAGTACGCTAGCTAGTCGGATCGGAGAGCCTGCTGGGTTGGGTGTTGGTGAAAGGTGTGGCCGCATTAGCCACACGAGAAAAGGAGAATACAATATTCTAGCCGTAGCGCGTAGCAGCGCGAATATTCACCGACGATGAGCGCGTCGGGATGACGAGGACGACGACGAGGAGTGTAATTGCTCTCGTCCTGGTGTCTACCTCCTCTTCGTCGTCGTCATCCAACGCAATATCGTGGTAGGCATGCCGCAGCGTGGAGTAGAGAGAGAGAGAGGAGAAAGGGGGTGGGAGCGAGACGCGGAGACATCGGCTGAAAAAAACGTCGGCATACAGGTGGTCGGCAGCGAAACGATCGGAGAGTACCGCTTAATGGGATTCAACGACCTCCGTACGCTCGTTCGGACGGATCTAGGAGTATCGGCCTGTATCAGCCTCTATATCGTCCGCTTGCCGATCTCGCCGACACGTCAAGGCGCCTCTCTATTTACCCCCGATCGATCGCGCCCGCGTCGCCAATATTTGGAACGGACGAATATTAACCGTGAAAATGAGAATTTCCCTGTTTGTCGGGGAGAGACAAATCGTCACATAGCAGTCGATATAAAGTTCAGATCACGATTAATCGCGTGCTGTATCTGAAATTATCAATCGACGGAGACGCGAGTACTCAAACTTAAATAGGCTGTACTTCAAATTTTCACTCGAGTATCAGACACAGGAGTGTAAGATAATGTCGAACGACAAAAGAGAAAGATAATACATATATCCCGTCGAATGTTCGTTAAGTCAAGGTCAATTTCGAATTTAGAGAGGAAAGGAATCGGACGGAAGTGCGCAACGGTCTCTCTCTCTGTAAATTCTATGTCGATAGATATCGCGTTCGTTCCGAGCGAACGATTCGCGCCGTTCGACTTAGTTGCACCGCTTTTTCTATAAGGACGATCCGCAAGCTCCATCGCTAGGCGAGTCGCGCGAGAAATCGGCGAAATTCCCGCGGAGGGAATGAGATTTTTCGCGTCATAAATTCCTGCGGGAGGCGGGCGATCGAAGATCTTGGCCCGTAGCGGTACCGTCCTTGCCCGATCGCCTCGAGCTACGCTGGCCCTGACGCGTTGGTAACTGTTCCCGTATCCTGTCCCGACTATTCCTGACTAGCAGAGAGCGTCCGGTATGCCGCGCGAGCGAGCGTGCGACTCTCGAAATCGCACGCTCAAAATGGCGCGCCTCAACATAATTATCGAATTGCCGCGCGCGCGATTGCATTGAACGCCATTTAATATCCATAAAGTCATCTATATACGGGGTGTCCTAAAACTGCGTCGACAAATATCTCAAAGGCAGTACTTCGACGCTTCAAGACGACGAGTTTAATACGAAAATGCCAAGGCCGCGATAGTTTTCAAACGCTAAGAGTTTAAAAATTATACGAATGACGAGACTGGAATTTCAAGCGTTCAGGGAATAGCAAGATGAAGCAGGGTGCTCTTCCTCTCGAACTTCATACCTTTGATAATAGCAAAATTCAGGACCTTCACACCGATCATCTTGCCATTTCCCAAACGCGCGAAATTCTAGCTCTATCATTCGTAATTTTTCAACTCTTCGTAGCCTCGACAATTTTGTATTAGACTTCTCGTCTCAAGATGTCACAAAAAATCTCTGTCTCTAAAATAATTATCGTCAGTTTCGGAATACCATGTGTATATTCCCTTTGTACAAAGTTAAAATAAAACTATCCGAGACGCGGCAAAAAGAAGCGCGTACCATTGTTCGTGTAACACGATACACGTCGCTCCTTCATCGAAATACCTAATGTCCCTAGGAGGTAAAAGTCTGGTCAATCTTGTCCTATTTCCGACAAAAAACGGCGGAACCAATTCGGACGATGGCTGAGCATGTGAAAAAATTGAAAAGTACGTGAAACGCCCTGTACAGTCGTGTAAATACTCGTATACGTTACACAAACTAGAGTTAAGATCGGCCAGACTCTCTTACTTCTGGGGACTCTAGAAATATCCAAATATGTATCGCGAAGCGTCGGAAGTGACGGAAGTGCGAGGGTGTGCGTGTAAGTCATGTGATCGTACGAACGAAAAATTGATACTCGATTCGAATCTGGCGCTGAAACAAACACTCGCGGGGCCGGCCTCGTGCGTTCCGCGGCTAACCGCACGTTCGGCACGTACGAGTTGTCCGACACCATCCGAACATTATACATCCCAAGTATCCGCGACGGCAATCGCAGCTTTGGATTTACGAGTGTCAGCCGCGGCGCGCTAGGACAGCAAGATATCGGAGGGAGGAGGAGGAGGAGGGGGGAGGAGGGGCCCTGGCCTGGGTGGTTGCTGACGGAGCCGGTGGCATCGGGGTCGCGGGATGCTACTGCGGTACGAAAATAAAATCCGTCTCGCCGTTGCGCGGAGAGAGAAATCCGTTGATCGCGCGCGCAGCCAAGATTCGAGACCCGCGATGCTCCGGTAGAGATATACGTGACTTTCGTAGATATAATATCAGCACTCTTATTCAACACTTTCCGGTGACCATCCCCCCCCCCCCCCCCCGATGAGGCCCACGTGTTGTTTCGTGAAGCTCGTTCGAGCAACATTTGACGCTCTCTCTAAAGCTTTTGGAGCGAATTGGACACTCTGAAGAGAGTGAGATATCAATGTTAAAGAGTGATAATTGAGCCGCTGTTTTTCAAAACTGGCTCAATTTTCGCTCGTTAGAGGAAGGTTCCACTCGAAAAAGTACTCTTTAAATACAATGAATTCGATAATCATCTTAATTCGAAAATTAATAATAATCAAGTGTCATAAATACCTGAGAAAAATATTAAATTTCTTATGGAATATCTATACTTTTTAAAACGTTAGCATTTTACGCATAGCAGTTTGAGAAATTGTTAATTATAAATGATATAGTTCTTAACAGGTTTTCTTCTTTAAAGAGCTCGTTTCCGAATTAACAACGCACTTTAAGCACCTCGAGATTTCGTACGACTCGATCAAGGACCAGATGAATTAAAAAACGAGATTTTAAAAGCTTTTGTTTCAAGAAAGTCGACACTGTATACCGAGCGCGGCGAACATAACATATACATAGGGATAACTGCGAATATATAAATGATGAAATTTGACATACACGTCCTTTTCACAAGCGTATAATAATAACAAGCAAACGGCTGTCGCGATGATAGAAGAGAGCCTGCGATACACCTCGTCCGTCAAGTTTACGCTCGAAAGTCTACAAATACATCAACTCATGGAGAGAAGCTAAATAATTTCTGTTTTGCAAAAAGCACGGGGGCACGACCGGACAAATTTGTCCGATGTTTTACCGGCGCGAAAGTTTCGCGGAACGGGAACGTGACAATTCGTCAACGTGATTTATAAATTCGTCCTGGCAAACACGCTGTGCGGCGACCAGGAAACTCCGCCCGAAATGATTATGATGCGCGTTCGCTAAGCGCGCGGATAAAAAACTCCGTCGCGGCACGTAGAAGTGGACAGAGATCCAGCATCTTGACGTGTATAAGACATTAAAATTCTTGCGGAGGAAAAAAGATCGAAACGGTATGAGAGAAGTCCTAGGCTTCTTCGATGCGACGCACAGCTCTTCGATGCCGCGCTCAAGGCTATGTCGCAATGACGTGTGGTAGCGTCATCGATATCGCCGTCCAGCTCAGCGGAGGAAGATACGAGAGCCAGAGAGTGGCAACAGCAACGGCAGTGGTAAATGCGACGTGGACGACGTCGACGACGAGGACCGGCTCTGCCGCGCTGTTACTGTTATTTTTAACCCGACGCCGACGCGCCGAGTCCGTAGTCTAAAACCGCGTCTACCCTCCCTTCGCGTCCTCCTCGTCTTATCCATCGTTCCTCATCATGAGTTTCCTTCTCTCTCTCTTCGGCTTCTTCCTCTCTTCTCTCCTCCTCTTCTTCTTCTTCTTCTTCTCAGCCGAGACGATGGGAGGGTTCACCAAGCGCGCATATTTCGGAGCCTATTTTCAAAGTAACTTTCTATTTCCAAAGTCATAGGACGCCAGTCGGACGTTCGGGCATCTTGAAGATGAGAATCGAGCTTAGAAAGCGCAACAGAGACGCTAAGTTCGTTTTTCCTAAACACGTTATGCGTCGTATCTGCTTTCGAGATGAAATCCATTTCTCGGAAATAAAATATTATGTTGCTATAATATATAGTGGTTTAATGTCATTGTTTCAACGTAATTTTAGATTACAAATTCAAGCGTATTTTATGTTAGAGAGATTATAATTTAGTTGGTTGGTATATCGATGAAAAATTATTATAATAATTTTGAGAAAAATGTAAAATATAAAAAAAATTGTTACACATTGATTGTTTCGCTTCAATTATCCTAATCGAACGATCGATGCGATCAGTTTCTGTGATCGATGGTGCCTAGCTATAATTAGAATTATCGCCCTAATATGGAACCAAACAAAAATGATTGTGTGGTAGATGAAAATGCGAAGAACAAGTCCTTCCAAATTGCACTTTAACATTACAGAGGGAAGTGGAAATATCTCTCGCGATATATTTGGAAAATTCACTACGAATCGACCGGCCTGATGTACTCTTGTTTCCGGTCATTAGCTTTCCATTTGCCGCGCACATTCAGGGCTACCGGCGTCACGCGTGACACAAAAGACAATACAATAGACATGGTCTTTTATTGGAATGTCCCAAATCCATTACTGCACACTTTTTTTTCAATTTTATTCGCAAAAGCATTTATTAATATGAATTTCAGAGCGGAACTTATAAAAATTTATGAACATTAAAAAATGTAAGATTCATACATTTTCATAAATATATGCAAATTTACATAACTATGTTACAAAATTCGCTTACCTTTAGGCCCAAAACATCTTCCCTTTCATTAGTTTTATGCTGAAATCAGAAAGAGGATTTTCAAATTATTCAATCAATTTAATTAATTCAATTTATAAATTAGTATACGTAAAAAATTTTATATTAAATCATCACGACCACAATATAATAATGCATAGATTTACAAAATATGATTCATAATAGCAAGAAACTGAAAGATACAAAAATATATATTACAACTATCTTTCTGCTGTATCTTCTTCTGATTTCTTGTTACTATAAGTTATACTATTAACTAAGTTATATTATTAATTTATTAAAATAAAAATTGTTATATTTGCACACAAAATAATTTATAAATTCATCCTTAACGAGACTAAACATGCGGTACAACGGACGTGTCTACCGCTTTCTCCGCGAATGCGGTCATTGCTGTTGCTATTGTTTGTCGGTGTTAACGTGGAAGATTTTTCGAAAAAATTGTCTTCGGAGAATCCGAGTAAAAGATTATTAAAAAAAAATCAAAGTAACTCGAATGCGGTGCGCCCTGCGCGAACTTAATGACGGTCGATAATGCTCGTCAAATGCCTGTAATACCGATAGTCAGGCCGCGAGAGCGGCGTATACAAAAGCGGCAGGATAGAGTTAGGCCGAGAAACGCTTAAGCCGTGTTGCCTGTCGCGGGAAAATCCGTTTGAAGAGCCAGTTTTCCCGCCAGTCGAGTCAGCAACGTTGCGCGGCGCGGCGAGAGGCGTCGAGAGAAAGAACGAGTCGGTCTGCTAGGCGTCGAGGGAGAGGGGGCGGGGGGGGCGGCGGCGGCGGGTGAGGAAAACGGTGCGGTGGTGCGGGGTAGCGGGGGAGGGGAGGGAGGGAGCGGCGAAGGAACGGGCGGCCAAGGAGAGACGGAGAGAGGCGGCGAAGAAGAAAAAGAGAGAGAGAAGCTCGAAACGTGACAACGCCGCGCTAATGCGTTGTAGACTCGGTTCCGTGCTGATACCCACGCTCCGAGGCCTTTTGCCTCGGCGGGAAGCCGCCGTCGCCGCCGCCGCCACCGCCGCCGTTGCCTCTCGGCGTAGAACGAAATATTTCTACCGGCAGACTTTCTACTCGGCAAGTTGCCGAGGGTTGCCGTGCCGCAACCAGGTTACGACGACGCAACCCAGGGTGGTAGATTCGCGCGCCTCCTCTTAATCCGTGAGGAATGCGCACACCGTATACTCCCTAAGATTCTAGTGTAAGATTCTAGTTTACGGAAATGTGGCACGGAAAAAAAAAAAAAAAGAAAAAAGAAAAAG